AGACATCAGGAGGTGCTACTTCACGGTCAGGGCGGCTAGGGTCTGGAACCAACTTCCAAGAGAGGTGGTGCAGGCTCCTTCCCTGGGGGTTTTTAAGAGGAGGTTAGATGAACACCTTGCTGGGGTCGTTTGACCCCAGTGCTCTTCCTGCCATGGCAGGGGGTTGGACTAAATGATCTGCTCAGGTCCCTTCCAACCCTAGAAACTATGAAACTATGAAAACCCCTCCTGATTAGAAAGAGGGGGATAAGGATGAGCAATGATCAGAATTACCTAAGGAAGGGGACTTTGTGGTCACTGTTCCCTCTAAGCTGCATAGTGCGTGTTGCTGCACTAACGTGCCTGGCAGCGCAGCAATAGCATGCCTGCACAGCCACACACGCCACGTAGCTTAGGGAACACTATTTGTGGTAATGGGGAATCTTTAACTGATGAGATATTTATTGGAGGAAGAGCATGGAAGGACACAGTTCATCAATGTACGGGGGACATTGCTTCACTTCTGCTTCACATGGTGGAAGAAAGTACTGGGGAAACAGCTGTTTTAAAACTGATTCCAACTCAAAGGGAGGGAAATATTGTGGAATCCAATTGTGGAAGATAATGGGGCAAAAGCAATTATGAAATGAGAATATGCAATCTTAATGAAGGGACTCAGCAGCAGAGTGCTTACAGCATCCAGAAACTAGTATGTCAACCACACTAGCTTAATGGGCCCTATATGCTCAGGCAGACTGACTTTTTTTTTTGGATCATTCCCACTAAAGAAGTTGAGAGAGCAGCAGAATTAAAATAAGGGATTTCAAAGGAACCAACTTGAATAAACTGAGGGAAATGCTAGGCTTTGCTTCTCCAGGTGATAATCAAACTGGTGCAGAAGAGCTGCCAGTTACTGAAATAGATTATATTAAATAAACCACAGCAAACTAACCTGATGAAAAGGAAAAATTAGAGCCTAACTATCTACATTAAGACCCCTTTAAGGGCTTGAAAATCAAAAAGGAATCAGACAAACTATCTTCCATAAAGAAAATTCAGTTTACTGTTCAGAAAATAGCTTTTAATTATCAGCATGGTAAAATGTTGGAACCAGCTGCCTAGGAATGCCACGGGCTCTCTTTCACTAGGTCTTTAAGAACACATTTGGCAAACTTCTGTTTGTTATTCTGCAGACAATACTTTATCCTGTCTCAGGGTAGGATTTGGATTAGATAACCTCTTTCAGCCCCACATGTCTGTGACTTTACAGAACAAACCGAGGTAGCAAAAGCTAAGGATGTGGTAGTCATGGGG